TCAAACATCTACTACGCTACTTGCACGGCACCAAGCACTACAAATTCACCATAGAACCAACAACAACACTCAGAGCAAACACCAACAACATCCTGGATCTCGACGTTCATGTCGATGCCGACTGGGCAGGATGCCCTACTACCAGGAAATCAACTTCAGGTTTCAACATCATCTTTCTAGGAACAACAGTTGCATTTGGCAGCAGAACACAAGCTACAATAGCACTTAGCTCAGCAGAGTCTGAACTCTACGCCATTTGCACAGGAGTTAATGAGGGACTACACCTCAGAAACTTCCTACTTGAAACCAACATTTGCAGCAAGCTAAACCTACGCATCCACACAGACTCCACAGCAGGCAAGAGCATTGCTACACGACAAGGCACTAGCAAACGAGCAAAACACATCGACCTCAAATTCCTCTACACACAAGACCTCATCAAGCACGACATCATCAGAATCCTTAAGATCAACACACTCCACAACAGCGCAGATTTGTTTACCAAATACATCAGCAAAGAAACACTACACAGGCTCATCCAGAGCATTGGAATACGCATCTAGCACTACGAACGACCAGCACAGCAGTTTCACAACAACAACAACGACTTTGGACATTTCATGTATGTAAGTAGCTACATGTAACACGACACTTTTGGTATGTAAGTAACAGTAACTACATGTACTTTCACTTGCACTTTTGGCGGCTTGAGTCAACACTACAGTTGTTTGTTTTACATGTCTGCATTCGCCGACTGCCTGGTAGCAACTACTTAGGCTCATTTGTTTTGCCCCGTTTCACTACATTTTGCATTCCACTGCAGCCATGGCCGCTCCATCTACTGCAGATGCTACGATGGGAGATGCGCCTACACCCGACAGGGCGTCTACACCAGAGGTGGCGGTCACTACAGACTCCAGTGACCATGGAACTCCACCACCTCAAACCTACAACGACTTCAACTACCACTTCAACCATTCTACACCTGGCAACACCGTCTACTACAACCCGACCACAGTGATGGACCAACTACACATCACTGAGCACCAGACAACCACTGCACCACCACTGGCCAACAACATTCCCTACACGCAATTTTTCACTGCATTTACACTTGAAGAGTATCAACTACTCTCACAACAACAAGCTACTCCACTGGCACAACTGGACTACACACGACCCATTCACTGCATCCCTGGAGATCTTCGGATGCCACACTACAATTCCACACTGCTCAGCATTTCACTACCTGAAGCAGCCAACGTCCACTACTACCACACGACTTCACTCCACACTACAACTGGCGACAACACCAACTACGTCATCATCCAACTCCAGATTGAACAACCACTACTCCTGAGGTACCTCACTTCAGGACAATTTCTACACTTCACAAGGGACTACATCTCCTACATGATGTCGGTACAACACAACTACTACCTCCCGACTACAACACTGCCACAGACCATCTTCAAGGTGAACTACAACATGGCCACCTTCACTGACAACTACAGCCTCAGGAACAACTACGTTTGGAATTTCCACATGCCACTACTACTACCTGAACTACTCCACTACCTCTACAACAGAGACCAACTCCACGACTACCAACACAAAGCAATCACTACAATCCTCTGCAAAAGCATCCAATACTACGGATTCACACTACTCACAATGACCAACCTCACACAACACCACAAAGCACTACTACACCGCTTTCTACGGGACTACCAACAACACATGTCGTGTCCCGAGATTGACGATGAGCGACTACGGGGAGCTCCAAACTACATGACAAACTTTTTCACCACCAACTACTACGCGACCTTGGACAGTCGACTACAGAAGGTCCAAGACTACCGCACCCAGAACTGGGTACTACACTTTTGAGCTCCTGCTCTACTACAACGAGTGCCTGCCTTCACTACTTCCGTCCAGCGCCCTACATCGAGCTGGAACCTGAACAGCGTGAACTACTGAGCGCAGGTCACTACTTTTGCCAATACAGTAGAATTGATGAACAACAATGGTTTTCATCACTACTGTCAATCCATGTTTTGCACTTCAGTTGAAAAGGTACTACAAAGACCTTTTAACTGAGGGGCCGTGTCAAACTACATGCTTCACTTTGCACTCTTGTTGCATGTATGTTCACTACCGCAGGCCTTGAGCTTACTACTCCGCATGAGTCAAAAGGTTGGCAGCTGCAGACTACATTGGTTGACTGTTTGTTTGAACACTACAGCACTTGCACTTGTAAGCAAAGTAACAACCAATTTTAACGAGAGAGAGAGAGAGAGATAGATAAATAACTAGATATGTAGCTGAAAAGACAAGAGAAAGAGAACTATATTGTTTATATGTTTGACACCTCCGCCCACCGGCTCCGCCGGCTCTACTGGTGTTGCGCGTAGTAGTTGTAACGTGGCAGTCATTGTTCTTGTAGTACTACTCGTGCTCTTGGTACTGGTACAAGTAGAAGTAATAGTCGCAGTAGTAATCATAAGTCCGGCTCTTGCTTTGCTTCTCGCAAACTTGAGCCCCTGCGCCTCAGATCCTGCCTCCATGCGCTTCTCGCAGCGGCCACCGCGCTGCAATCCATGGGCACCTGGCCTCTTTGCGATATTGCGCTTTCTGCGTCGTCTCCTTTATCTCCTTTCCCTCTCGTTCTCTATCCCTTTCTGTTGGCTGGCACCCGGCTGTCAGGCGTAAGCCGTAAAATCCGGCCACCGGCCCTGACCCCGATATGGCCTAGGCCAGAGGTGTGCCTTCTCACGTGCCAGGGCCGGCGCCCACTGCCGCCGACCACGCGCTGAACACGTGTAGACTTTTTGCCTGCTAAGGGGCGAAGGATTTGCGGAATCGTGTTGGTGATTTTTTGCGCATCTCATCGTGGAGATGCGCAAAAAAACAAGCGTTTTTTTGGGTCATAACATTTTCATGACATATTCATGACATAGCCTTCATATGCACAGGTCGTATTCATTACATATTGCTCGCGGTATCACCACAGCATGACCGATCAAGGACGTTCTAGTTTGAGGTGCCCATAGTGGACAACATCCCCGGCACCACCTGCATCATCCGTAACCATGGCAAACACTGATGCGGATGATGCTGGTGATGCGGGGGATGCTAGGGATGTTGTCCACGCTGCTGAAAGGACATGTGGAAAAATGAAGGGAATTGTGGATGGATGTAGGGAAAGTGGATGGGCAATTCATGGATGGATGGAATGAAATGGAAACAGGATGGACAAAAAGGATGTAAGACTGATGTGTGGAAACTGGAAATTGATGGAACATGTATGGATGGCTGGGGAATTGGAAACTTGCTGGAAAATGGACCAAGAAGGGAAATGAAGGGACATGGATGAACAGTTGGCGGAAAATGGGGGGAAGGGGATGTATGGACTAGTGATGGGCAATGGAGAGAAAATTGAGGGAAAATGGATGGACAATTCATGGAAAACGATGGATGGAATGAAATGGAAAAAAGGATGGACAAAAAGGATGTAAAACTGATGTGTGGAAACTGGAAATTGATGGAACATGTATGGAAGTTGGCTGGGGAATTGGAAACTTGCTGGAAAATGGACCAAGAAGGGAAATGAAGGGACACGGATGAACAGTTAGCGGAAAATGGAGGGAAAGGGATGTATGGACTAGTGATGGGAAATGGAGAGAAAATTGAGGGAAAATGGATGGACAATTCATGGAAAACGATGGATGGAATGAAATGGAAAAAGGATGGACAAAAAGGATGCAAAATTGATGGAGCATCTGCGGCAACTGGAAATTGATGGAACATGTATGGCAAGTGGCTGCGGAATTTATGGAAAATGGCTAGAAAATGGACCAAGAAGGGAAATGAAGGGACATTGCTGAAAAGTTAGCGGAAAAAGGAGGGAAAAGGGATGGATGGAAAATGTCTGGAGAATTGATGGAAAGTTCCTGAAAAATGCATAGATGGAATGAATGGAAACAGGATTGCGAAAGGTTGCTGCAAATGCGTGGAACTGTCATGCAAAATTCTTGGAAGATTGATGGGGAATTCGATGGAAGATTGATGGAACATTCAGGGAACATGGATAGAAAATTGATGGAAAATGGACGGAACCTGGGTGGAAAACGGACGGAAAGAGGATGGAACACGGATGGAAATTGATGGAACATGGGTGGACAAGAGCTGGGAAAAAACTCGGAAAATCTTAAATTTCCGAAAAAATCTAAAATCTTAAAATCGTAAAATGATGGAATCATTAAAATTTTAAGACTCTTAGATTCTTATTGAAAGATTAAGGTCATAGAATCTTAACATCTTAACTTCCGAAAATCTTCAAATCTGAAAATCTTAACATTTTCAAACCTTAAAACCTTAAACTCTTAAAATGGATGGAACATGGATGGAAAATGGCCTGGCCTGAAATCTTGAAATCTTAACACCTTCAAATATTGGAATTTCAAATCTTAGAATGATAGAATCTTAGCTATTCACATCTAAAAATCATAAAATCTTGAAAAATACTAAAGTCTTAGAATCTTGGGTGGGCGGGTTGGTGGGTAGGTGGGTGGGTGCAGGAACGGGCCTGACGGGCTGGGTTCGGTGGCCGGCTGTATCGCGTAGCGTGTAAATATCGATCCAGGGGTGCGCCGATTGCGGAGCAGTTCGCTGCACACCCAGGTAGCATCTGCCTATTGCTGTATGATTTTCTGTATGGATTCTGCTGCCGGATGCAACTTGCATGCAAAAGGTCCGCAGTCTAAATTTGCTCATAAAACCCAATCAAACACACTCAGAATCAGGAATGCCCTTGAATACTTTGCGGCCACCAGTGATTGCTGCCATGATGTGGCATCCTTCTCCGGACAGTCTATAGTATAGGAAACAGCACAAGCCAGAGAAGTTACATGAGCACACACCTGAACTCAACAAGGGAAACGCATGGGAGCATCTGATAAAGTGCAGGCATCTCACAGCCCAAGTTCCCACCTCCGCGC